GATTGGCCTCTCCACCAATTTGATGTGAAGAATGCCTTTCTCCATGGAGAACTCACAGAAGAAGTTTACATGGATATCCCACCAGGATACGTTACATCTACTCCTGCTAATGTGGTGTGCAGATTGCGAAATGCATTATATGGATTGAAACAGTCTCCCCGAGCATGGTTTGGGCGTTTTACCGTGGCAATGAAAACTTATGGTTTTAAGCAGAGTAATTCTGACCATACTCTGTTCTTAAAACACAAGGGAGGAAAGGTAACTGCTCTCATCATTTATGTTGATGATATGATTATTACTGGGAATGATAAGCAGGAAATTTCTCAACTACAAAAATGTTTGGCAAAGGAGTTTGAAATGAAAAATCTTGGTGGACTCAAGTACTTCTTGGGCATTGAAGTTGCTCGATCAAAGCAAGGCATATTCCTCTCACAAAGGAAGTATGTTCTAGATTTATTGGCAGAAACTGGAATGTTAGATTGCAAACCTGTGGACACTCCAATTGTTCAGAATCACCGCCTTGGGGAATATCCCAATCAAGTACCCACTAACAAAGAAAGATATCAAAGATTGGTGGGACGACTGATCTACCTATCCCATACCCGACCCGACATCGCGTATGCTGTAAGTGTTGCTAGTCAGTTTATGCATTGTCCAAGTGAAGATCATATGGATGCGGTTCTTCGGATTCTTAAATATTTGAAGTCCGCACCAGGAAAAGGACTTATGTTCTCTAAGAATGGTCATCTGAATATCAGTGGCTATACAGATGCAGATTGGGCAGGGAATGTCACTGATAGACGATCAACATCAGGGTACTTCACATTTGTGGGAGGTAACTTGGTTACTTGGAGGAGCAAGAAACAGAATGTTGTTGCTTTGTCTAGTGCAGAGGCCGAATTCAGAGGAATGACCAAAGGAATTTGCGAACTTCTTTGGTTGAGAAAATTGCTTACAGAGATTGGATATGCACCTACATTAGGAATGCATCTACAGTGTGATAACAAGGCTGCAATATCCATTGCACACAATCCAGTTCAACATGATCGCACCAAACATGTTGAAGTGGATCGA